CTGATACCCAAAAACCCGAAAACCAGAGTGCCACATGCCCTAATACCTTAACACCCTGATACCCTAAGACCCTACAGTCCAAAGAACAGCGACCGAGAAATCCGAACACACGAATATCATAACGCCCTCTGCGTCAATGCAGATATACTCAATGACCTTAGCACCCTAAGACCCCGATGTCCTGATACCATAAAGCCCCACTGCCCGATAATCCTAGAACCCTAATGCCCTAACAGCGAAATGCCCTAACATCCTAACGCCGTAATGTTCTATTACCCTAAAACTCGAAGCCACAAACACCCAACTACCCTAACACCCTGATGCCCTAGACCTTCACGGCCTAGGACACGACTACCTACCCTAGAACCTCAACGCGAATTCCCGAATACCCTAATATCGTAGAACCCTACAAGCCAAATGTCCTAACACTCTGTCGCCCTACTGCCCTAAAGACCGAACGTCGGAAGACCCTAACCGTGGAAATACCTAATACCCTGATGCCCTGGGACCTTATAACCGCACTACCCTGATGCCATAACGTTCCAATGCCCTAGTACCTTCGCACCCCAAGACCCTAACGCTTCAATGCTGCCCTAGTAACCTGAAGCCCAAATGTCCTAGTCCACCTGTACGCTAGAACCTTGATTTCCGAATACCCTGACACCCTAATACCGTGAGCCTCAAATACCTTGAGACCCGAATGCTCTAAAACACCTGAGGCCATAAACGCCTACACCCCAGTGCCTTAGTAACCGAACGCCTTACCCTAAGACCTCAACATCATAAACTCCCCGGGCTGTAATGCCCTCATACTCTAAAACCCTAATCGACGAATGCCCTACAATCCTCATGCCCGAAGACCCTAGAATCCAAATGCCCTGGTACCCGAGCACCTCAACCCCCTGGGGCTCTGATACCCTGAGGCCCTAAAACACCGAAAACCCTGAGGCCCTAAGGCCATAAGGTTCTAAATTCCTCATTCGCAAAAACGCTATCGCCCAAGTGCTCCAAGACATTCATACCCTATGCTCCTGAATACACAACGGCCCGAAACACCTATAACCATGATTCCGTAATGCCCTAGAGCTCTGATACCCTAATGTCACGATGCGCTAAATTCTTAATGCCCTAGTGCCCTGACGCCCCAATACTCTGAGACACAAAGGAGTTCATACCCTAGCGCCCTAAGACCCGAAACGCCTAAAGCCCTGACACCCTGGTAACCGAACGCCATACCCTAAGATCTGAATGCCAGAACATCCTGGGGCCCTAATGCCCTCGTATTTTAAATCCCTAACACTCAGCATGCCCTAACGCCTTCAAGCTCTAACACCCGAATTCTAAGCCCCCTTCCTACCCTAAGACCCAACTACTGGAAGACCCTAATAAAATAATGCCGTAAGGCCCTAACACCCTAATGCCATAACCCCCCAACACAGTGACGTCCTGAGACCTTAATGCCTCTTTAAACCCGAGAATCCTGAGACCCGAACGCCCTAATACCTCAAGCTGCTGCCCGAAGACCCTAAAACCTTCACGCCCTGACATCCTGATGCCCTCAAGCCTTGATGCCCTAAGACTCTGATGACATAATACCGGAAGGCCCTACTACCACAAAGCCCTGATACCCTCACACCTTAATACCCCAAGGCCTTACTGCGCTAAGACCTTACTACCCCGAGCCGCGAATACCCTAGCACCGTAAAGCCCTAATGCCCTCATACTGTAAGGCCCAAACACTCTAAAACCCTAAAGCCCCAATGCGTTAAACACTTGACACCCTAATGCCCTAATACCCCAACGCCCTAAGACTGTACGGCCCTAGCACCCTGATGCCCTCATGCTCTAATGCCCTGATGCCCTAAAAGCTTCACAACCCAAGACCCCATTCCACTAATACCGTAACGCATACTATCCATATAATACCGTAATGCATAATACCCTATTGCCGTAATGCCGAACACACACACACACACTAAGACCCTAATACCCTAATGCCCTACGGCCCGAATGCCGTAATACCCTAAGGCCCAGAGACCTGAGACCCCAAAGACCCTAACATTGCAATGCCTGAAAGCCATAAGACCCTCGGAGCCGAATGCCCTCATACCCGAATGACGTCATACGCTCATGTATGAAGACCCACCAGCCCTAATGGCCTAACACCCTGATGCCAGAAACCCCTAATACCCTAATACCCTAATGTTCTAAGACATTTAAGCCCTAATGCCTTTTTTACCATAGTGCTCGAAAGCGTTCATACCCCAGCGCCCTCATTCCCTAAGGCTCGAATCCATGAAGACCTTAAGATCCGACCGCCTTAATACCCGAATGCCCTAACACCCGAATGCCCTGACCCCTTAACACACTAAGACCTGATACACGAAGGCTCTCATACCCTAACCCCCATGAGACTGTAACACCCGAAGTCTTGTCAACCCTAACGCCCAGTTAGATCTCACAGAAGGGGCGAAGATGGGCCCCAATACCCAGTCGCCATCGTCCTCAGCCGTCGCTGTCATCATCACCTTCGACATGATCATCGCCAACAAAATGCGTACTGCGGGCAATATGTACGTCAATGATCAAGAAGAAGCAGATGAGCAGTCCCTAGTCGAATGATGGACCAGCGCACATGTGGCCCCAGAGCGTCCGCATGCAGCCGACAGAGTACCTACAGATACGCCCAGTTCACCTCATATGGCGCATGAGGACGCCGACGTCTCCCAAGAAGGCCACAAGGTGTGCCGAAGGGCGAAATGCACGCTGAGGTTCTAGCCACCCCCACCTCTGGAGAAGCTCACAGCAACGCTGAAACAATGACACACACACACACACGAGAGGCAAGCGGGTCCGAGAGCAGCGGAGTTCGAGGTCAGCTGGGTCCGGGTTCAGCCGGGTTCGAGTTCAGCTCGGACCCAACTGAACCCGGACGGAACTGAACTCGGAGCCAACTGAACTCGGGCCCAACTGATCTCGGACCCAACTGAACGCCCAGCTGAACTCGGACGCAGGCTCGAGCCGCAACGGGAAGGCCCGAGTCCGAGGTCAGCCGGGTCCAATTCGCGGGATTCCAAGATTAGCCAGGTGCGAGGTCGACCAGGAAATGAACTCGGACCCACGTAAATTCAGACCCCGACGAAAGCAAGCACAGCTGAACTCAGACCCACCTGAACATAGAGGGCAAAACATCGACCCCCATAATAGCCACCCCGACAAGCGAGGCCGTTTACTAAACGCCCCCACTGAAGGAACCGAACAGGGCAGGGCTGTTTAGTAAACGCCCAAGGCTGGTTTGTAAACGCCAATGGTCTGGTCCAGGTGTTTTTTCCTCTTCTGAAAGCAGATACCCAACTGATCTTGGTCCAAGCTGACCTCCCAACAGAACTCGGACCAGAGGTTCGCGCCGCAGCGAGAACGCCTGTGTCCGCGTTCAGCCGGGTCCGCGTTCAGCTGGGTCCGAATTCAGCCGGGTCCGAGAGTTCAGCCGGATCCGAGATCAGCCGGGCCCGAGGTCAGCCGGGTCCAATGTCAGCGTGTCCGAAAACAGCTGGCTGGGTCCGAGATCAGCCGGATTTGAGCAGCCAGTTCCGAGATCAGTCCCTTCCCACGTTTGCCTGCTTGCCTGCTTGCGTTCTTCATCGCTTGCTCGTCCGCTCGTTGCGCATTTCTGCCACACCGCTGCTGCTTTCTGCTGGGAGCTGATGCTGGTTGCTGCACGTTCTGCTCACCTGCTTGCGTGCTGTCCTGCTTGCGTGGCTGCTAGCCTGCTGGTCCGAAAATTTGCTTTCCTGCTTGCCTCCTTGTATGCTGGCCTGATGTGTTGCGTACTTGCTTGCTCCATTTCTTGTTCATCCGCTCGCTGCCGCTTACTGCTGTTTGTTGCTGTTAGTGCTGCCTGCTGCTACTTGCTGCTGTTTGCCCTTGGTTGCTTCTGATGCCGCCTGCTGTTGTCTGCGGCTCGCTGCTGCTACCTGCTATTGCTGCTAGCTGATGTTTGTTGCCTGCTGCTGTTGGTTCCCGCTGCTGCGTGCTGCTAATTTCTGCTGCTCATTGCTGCCTCTAGCTGCCGTTGCTGGCTTTGCTGCTGCTGGATCTGGGGGCCGTGCACAGGCTTTCTTTTCCGGGGCTATGTTGAAGGCGTCTTGGGGCTTCCAAGGCCGCCTCGGGGCTCTCCTACAGCCTCTGGGGCTGTCGTGGCACCCTCTGGAAGCCCTCTCGTGCCGTCTGGGGGCTCTCCGATGCAGTCTTGCGCCTATCGCGAGCCCTCTTTGGCCGTCCTCGGGCTCTCCTGGGGCCGTCTTGTCCTGCACATCCTTGGAGCTTCGTGGGGCGCCCTGGAGCCCTCCTGGGGCCCGCCTGGGACCGTCTGGGGGGTCGGGCTACGCCTCGGCCAAGTGAGGCACTGCCCGAGCAGGGTGGAGTCGAACAGCTGGGGAAGCGAGGAGCATGGAGAAACCCATGAGTTTCGGGAGGTCTGGGGGGTCTGCAGCCCCTGCGGGAGTGCCCGCGGACCTGTCTGAGAGGATCTCGTGCGCGTCTTGGCGCTTCTGGGAGGCTCTCGGGCGCGGGCGCGAAGCCTCCGAAGGGCCGTCCACGGCCGAGTGGAGGCGAGCGGGAGGCGTCTGGGCTCCCAGGACAGCGTCGTCCCAAAAGCGGAGCCGCAGAAGCAGTGCTACCCAGGGCCGGCCGAGGGAAGCAATCTTCCCTTCTCGACAAAGGACTGCCCTGCTATATATATATATACACACACCTATATATATATTATATATATATATATATATATATATATATATATATATATATATATATTCACCACTACGTGTATGAATGTATGTATGTGTGCATGCATGTATGCATGCATGCATGCATGTCGGTCTGTCTGTCTGCCTGCCTGTCTATCTGTCTGTCTGTCTGTATGTCTATATGTCCGTCTGTCTGTCTGTCTGTCCGTCTGTCTGTCTGTCTGTCTGTCTGTCTGTCTGTCTGTCTCTGTATGCATGACGCCGGGCTCCAGCTTCACCTCCCGCATCTCGTGCAGCAGCGCCAAGGCCTGCTGCCATTGCTTTCCCTTCGCGCACGCGCCGATCCCAGCGCTGAAGCTGATGACGTCGGGCTCCAGCTTCACTTGCCACATCTCGCTGAGCAGCGTCAAAGCCCGCTGCCATTGCTCGCCCTTCTCGCACGCGCTGACCCCTGCATTGTAGCTGACTAGGGCTGACCCGTGGACAACCGCCCACGAATGCCAGTGGTCAGAGTGCGCTTGTTGCTGCTCATTGCTTCAGGGTGCGCTGTTTGCTTGATGATTCTGACGGCGGCAGTATCAGCGGCAGCAGATCCACTGGCATTGGCAGTAGCAACAGCAGCAGCTCCAGCAGCAATACCAGCAGTGCGGCTCCAGTAACCGCGGCAGCAGCAACAGCAGTAGCTCCAAGACGGTTGGACAAAAACCACAACCCACACCTCTTGGGACACGCTCTGCGCAAAGGGTCACAGAAACAGCGCTCCTGGGTGTCCGCGGCTGCATCGGACAGCTATTTTCTGCAACCTCTCCCGCGCGAGAAAAGTCCTAAGTTTTCCCATCATCGGGTGCTTTCTTGCCGTTTGAAAGGAGCTGCTGGAGGCTTTCGGGAAGCCTCTGAGGAGGAGTGTCCCGGAGGCCGTCTGGGAGCCTATGGGGGGCTTCCTGGGGGCTTGCTGGCTATGGGGGGGGCGGGATGAGGGGGGGAGCGTGCCAGAGTTGGTCCTGTTGGGCCGCTCTTATGGCCGTCTTGAGGGGCTGTTCGGCCGTCCCTGGAGCCATCTTGAGGGTCGATGGGGCCCTCGTAGGGGCTCTCTTGGGAGCTCCCTCGGCGCCCTCTGGCCGATTTGGGATCCCCAGAGGTCTCTGAAGGTGTCGAGAATTCCCGTGGACCCCCTTGTCGTCCTGAATAGACTTTCGAGAGTCCGGCGCGCGATGAAGGCCTCCAGAGGCTCGAAACGCTGAAAGACGTCCGTATTGACCAACTGATCTCCGCATGCGCCAGAGGCCCAGGGGGCGGCGGCAGCGACGGCGGACAAAAGTACCCTCTCGGAGCTACCCTGGGGTTCTGGGCAGAAGTCAGGCGAGCTCCGGGGAGGCTCCAGCAGGGCCCCAACTGCACCCCGAGAGGGCCCAAAAAGGAAGTGGCGTCACTCCACCAGCTTGTGGGCTCTCTCGCAGGGCAGCCGAAACCGTCTTCGAAGCCCCCTTGTGGTCTCGTGGGGCCCGCTCCTGCCTACCCTGGGGCTTCGGGCGGGACTGAGGCGGCCGCCGTGAGAGCTCGGAGAGCGCCCCGAGTGCCTCAAGTGGAGCGGGAGAGAATCCACAAGCAAGTCGCGTCACTCCACTTGCTTGTGGGCCCCCTCGGGGCCCACTCGAAGCCGCTCTGCAAGCCCTTCTGGGGCCTCTCGGGGCCTGTCTGGGCCTGCCCTGGGGCTTCAGGCGGGTCTCAGGCGGTGCCTGGGAGCGCTAAGCTGAGGGCGCCGTTGCTTTACTTTCCAACGATGTTCCATTCGGCGGTGGACAAACCTCCCTTTAGTAAACCTCCTCTTAGTGAACACGGCCTAGGACCGAAACCGACGGACCCGGACCCGCAAAAACGACGGCCGCGACGCCCTCTCGCGAACCGAAAACGGCCAATTCGCTAATCGACGTGTCAGGGTAGGAGGTCTATCAACCTCCGATCCATGGTGCCTGTGGCCTCACGAGGAGGTCGGACGATGCGCGCGGGCTGCGTGGGCTCAGGACAAGTTCGAAGGCCCTGCGGAGCCCCCCCAATGGCCGGCCTGTCCGGAGCACTCTGGGGCAGCACTCCCCGACGACTCGCCCATTCAGACTGGAGACTGTCCAAAGAGGGGGAGGAAACGAGAGGCGCATGGGCGCCCTGTTGTCCTGGGTGGCCTGCGCGGTCACAGAGCTCTCTGAGGAACCTTCCCTCGGAAGCGTCTTGGAGGCGATTCTGGGGGTTGTCTTGGGGCCTCTCGGGGGCCTCCTGGGGCTTCTGGGGGGATTCTTGGGGTACTGCCGGCGGTTTCCGGGATCATCCTGGAGCGGAGGGCGCGAAATGTCAGTTCGAGTTCCCCCTCTTGGGGCCGTCTTGGGCCGTCTTGTGGGCCTCTTGGGCCGTCTTGGGGCCCTCTTGGGCTGTCTGGGGGCCCTCTTGGGCGATTTCTGGGCCGCGTTGGGGCGATCTTGGGGACCAGTTGGGCCGTCTTGCATCGTCGGAAATCCGAAAAGGCGAGGACGCACACGACATTCAAACACCAAAAGGGAATCACTGATTTGGGCCTCTCGGGGCCCTTCCGGGGGCCTCTTGGACCCATCTTGGGCTATCTTGCGGCCCTGTTGGTTGTCAGACAACCACATTGATGACATCTTGGACCGTCTGGAAGCGCCTCGGGCCGTCTTGGACCGTCTTGGAGCCTTCCTGGGCCGCTTTGGAGCCCCCCTGGGAGGAGCCTGGGGCGCGCCAGCGCTGACCGGGGCCAGTTGAGTCTTTTCTATCTTTTCCCCAATGGCACGCAGTGTCCCCTGCCATTGTATGATAGACCAAGGCTGTCCCCCGTGGCCTACCGGCCACGAGATCTGTCCGGGATGGCACGTGGGGCCAGGGCAGGGAAATGGCCGAAAGACTTTCGCGATGACGGTGGGCCCGGACTTCGCCTCTGCTGTCGCTGCCTGGAGCTGCAGGGTGCTGCCTGCGGCATGCTGCTATTGCTGCAGCTTACCTCTGCTGTGCTGCGTCGCTCGCTGCGGACTGCTGCTGTTCGCTGTTGCTGCTTGAGGCTGCGAGGTGCTGCTTCTTGAAGAGCGAGGAGGGATGAGGGAGAGGCGAAGGAGGGGGCAGGCAGACAGGAGGGCGATGCGAGGAGGGCGGAGAACTAGGCTTGCAGCCAGGAGTGAGGAGCGAGGGAACAGGGGAGAGGAGCCAAAGCGAGGAGTGAGAGGAGCAAGAAGCGTGGAGAGATGGCCGAAGAGGGAAAGGCTCCGAAGACCGTAAGCGAGCCTGGGAGAGCCGCCAAAGGAGCTTCGTGGACTGCCGTCCACGAGAGCAGAATCGCGTGTAGTTGCCCTGTTTGCGTGGCTGCCAGCGTGGTGACTTGATAGCTTTTGGCCTCATCGCCTGCTTTCTGTTTCGCTCGCTTCTTTATTCCAGCCCTCCCTTGGTTGGGCTCTCGTTTTGAATGGAACACTGTGGTCTCCACCTCTCCTCCCTCCTTCTCCTCCTCCTCCTCCTCCTCCTCCTCCTCCTCCTCCTCCTCCTCCTCGTCCTCTCCTCTCCTCCTCCTCCTCCTCCTCCTCCTCCTCCTCCCTCTCGTCCTCCTCCTCCTCCTCCTCCTCCTCCTCCTCCTCCTCCTCCTCCTGTCGACCTCGCCGTCCCGTGGGGGCGCCGCTGTCGTGGGCTCCTGGGAGGTCCAGCGGAGGGGCGTCCTACGCAGATCAGAACTAGACCTCGCCCTCCGTGCCGGGGTGCGAGCTGCGCAACTGTCGCCGCTTCTGGATCGCGCGAGTAATTGCGTGAACTGAAGGCATTGGGCGTGCCAGGCGTTCTTTGGCGAAGTGTTTAGAGGGACGCGTCCATGTATAATTCTTTTGGAATTGAGCGGTCCTGCTTATAGGCGCCATGTGTGTTGAAAGGGTGGGTACGCCCCTGAATATTTTCCCAGGCAGCTCGCTGCGCTGCCACTTCCTGCCGCTTGCCCATACTTGGCACTGCTTGCCGCAACTATTGGTATACATCATGTTCTTTTTCGCCCGTACGGACTGGTGTTGGCCGATGTGTGCTGCTGCCTGGTGCTTGTTGATGCTGCGTGTCTGCTACTTTTGTGATGCTGCTTCCTGGCGCAGATGCGTGCTGTTGGTAAGGCTTCACGCTGCTGCTTGCCGTTACTGCTTGTGGCTGCAAGGTGCAACGAATTGCCAGCACTGCTTCCTGCGTGCCGATGCTGGATGCTTCAGGGCGCTGCTTCTCGCCACGTACCCCTGCTGGCCGGCGCGACCTGCTTCTCGTGAGAGGATCGAGGAGCCAGGGATCGCGGAGGGAGAAGCGAAGAGCGTTCCAGCGACAAAAGGGAAGAGGGACGGCCGAGCAGGGGTGAGGGATGTGCTCAGTAGACAACAGGACGGAGCAGGGGGGCCTCAGGATAGCTCTGCGAGTGGCGAGACGGGGAGAGGGATGAGAAGAGCAAGGGGGAGAGGGGAGAGGAGCAGTGGGCGAGGAGCGATGCGCGAGAAGCTTGGCGGGAGGCTCGAGAAGAGGCCAGCACGAATCTTCCAATGGGGCCTCGGCGCGCGTGTGGGCTGAACACCCGGTCTCCTCTCAGTCGCTTACGCGGCCCTCTTGGGGCCTTTTTTCGTGGCCTTCTCTGGAGTCTCTTGTCTTTTTGGGGCCTGGACACGTAAAACCACGTGGTTCCAATTCGGGACAATCATGTTAGATACCCCCTGGGTGGCCTGGACATGTAAAGACACGTGATCCCAGCTCGGGATAACCAACCATGTTAGATGCACCCCATGGGTGGCCTGGACACGTTCAAACACGTGGCCCTTGCTCGGGACAGCCATGTTAGGCCATCTGCGCGTCCCTCGGGGCCTCCTGGTGCTGTTATGGGAGGGTCTGGTGGGCCGTCTTGGGGCTGTCTTGGAGCCACCTCGGAGGCCAGCAGGGCCCATCTTGGGGGCATCTTGGGCCTTGCTCGGGGCCATGGAAGACCGCAGGGGCCCTCTACGAGGTGTCTGGAGCTCTGTGCGGAGCGATCTGGAGCCGAGAAGTGGATATTGGTGGAAATGTGCGAAAACATCGGAGGTTGGAGGGCAAGATCGCAGCGGAACGCAGAGCCCTCCACCGGGACATCGGCTTCGATTTCGTGTTCGTGTCGTGCGTGCGGGTGGGTGAAGCTGCGTGGGCGCGCGAGAGGAATGACACCGTCGTCGCTAGGGCGATTCGGATGCAATGGACCGCCCCTCCGCCTCCGGTGGGCGCGCGGTGGCCCGGGGTGTCCCGCCGTGGTGTCCTGCAGTGTCCCGTTGGTGTCCTGTTGGTGTCCCGTCGGTGTTCCGTCGGCGGTGGGCGGGAGGTGCCAGGGGAGTCCCGCCTTCGTATCGGTAGTAAAGTCGATAGGGATATTGAGATCGCTAGAATTAGATGGATAGTG